CTGCGCTGGGTCCGGGGCTAGGACCACGGCTCGGATGCGGTGAGTGCCGCGTACAGTGCTTCCCGGCGTGCCAAGCCTCCCATTCCATGGACTGCAAAGAGGTATGCGACAACGATGAGAGCCGCTGCAAGGAGTGCAAGACCCCAGCGATCAAAAAGTGCAAGGCCGTCTGCACGGGCAGCTGTGACTGCAGTGCTGAAGCCGACAAGTCATGCAACTCCGAATGCTCCTACAATACATGCAGCTACTGCGCGTACAGCCGTGGCAAAAGCTGCAAGAACGACTGTGACAACTACTGCAACAGCAACTGCTGGGGACCATAGCCTATGGTAGCCAGTGTTGAGTGCTGACCGGCCGGACTATCCGGCTATACATGTACTCTATGGTCAACTGTGTTTGCTTGCATGTATCGACGGAAGGATGTACTTCCTCCAATCCGTATTACTTATCTTAGATTTGTCTAGATACATACATTTATACAAATTTAAGACGAATAATATGGATCGGAGGGAGTACCTGATAATAATAATACACAATCAAGTACAATCACAAGGCTATATCCATTCTTATTGTACCAACTTTTCGTGTATAGGTATGATGAATCTGGCACATGTGCGAATCGGACAAGCGGAAACGGAACGCGAGGGCCTCCCGGGTCGCTCTCCCGCGAGCAACCCGGGAGAGAAACCTTGCCCGCACATCCACCTCTCCATCCCCTTCCCGAGCATCACCGGGCAAAGCCCGCCCGCCATTATTAGTGGCGGTGGGAACCAGTCCCCCCTTTGCTGGGTTGGAGCAGCGCGTGGGGCGTTCATTCTAGCGGGGGCTCACACGACAGCCTAGATGCACAGCCGGCGATGAAGCGTGAGCTCATGGCGGCAGTGTGGAGGCACTGGTGCTGCATCAGCTTGGCCTGTCATGGCCCTGCACCCCGATCTGGCTTCCTTGGTAGGCGATTCGCCTTGGCCGGCCTACTACAGATCCATGACAACGCTAGTCACCGACAGATCTTCGGGAGCGTCCATCTCTCAAGATCCAGTGGTTGACTTCGGTGATGAGATGCAAATTATGGACGAAGACTTTTGATGCATCTGGATGGTTGTGCAGTAGTGGCGACCACATGTAGCTGCTAGGGTTGCGGGAAAGTGGTGGCGACAACACTTCAGTGACTTCGATGGTGGTGCTACCCCAGCATCTGGTCTTGAGCTCTTGGTTGAAAGCCTAAGTCCGAGTCAAGCTGGTTATACCTGGAAAGTTGAGTTTTTACGTCGTTATCTCGTTGAAGCCATTTCTTGAATATACTTGGATTGATTCTTCAAGGTGAAAACCTAGATTCCAGCCTTGGTGGTTGAGTCTGATGACGGCAACGCTTGAGTATCACTCCCTTCCTAAAGGCGTTGCTGTTGAAGAATCTCGTTGTTTTTGTGAGGTCATGAGATGGTTGGTGCGGATATGGTCATTGTTGCAGTTTGACGATCATGTGTCTGATCACATTGGGCTTTTTTTTCTTTTTTTCTTGCCCACGCATAGCTTTGGTCCTTGATGACTTTGCTAGTTGTTGGTATGTTTGTGTTGGTGTTGGTTGGGTGCATCCTAACTATGCAGAAGTCGGGTATGTGCTCATTGTCTTATGTATCCTTCTGATGCTCTATTTTAAGCCAATAAAATCTACCCTTTGTCGAAAAAACATATGACATAAATATTTGCATCTGCAAACTTATTTAAACTTTTCATGTTTTTCAAATTTCTCTTGATACGTGCTTCATCCTAGAAGCGTGTAAAGGCCCCCCATACCAGATCCCCTCGTATTTGGAGTCAAACTTTGACCATCAATTCGACCGGGAAAATGAATTATACTTATGTTCCTTAAAAAGTATATACTGCTGGAGACATCTTCTGAATATAAACACAATATTATAGTTCTTAAGGTATATACCTTGTATTTTTATTAGTTAAACCGATGGTCAAAGTTTGACCAAAAAATACGAAAGGCCATATATATGGACTGGAGGGAGTACTAAACTATAGCCAAGGTACATATATCTGTACAAACCGTACCAACTTGCAAGTTAAGATCTATGCCGTTCATGTCACAAGTTGCCTTCGACTTCAAGATATGTTGACTTTCTATTTTGGTTGGATCTCAGTGGAGAAGAGATACTAAATTACTTATACCGTGTCGGCCTGTAACAGACTTGTTTTGGCAAATATAGATATGCAGATTTTCGTTTGACACAATAACTTAATTAGTAGGAAGAACCGAAACAGACCTATTGCAATGCATTATATATGTGGAATATCTGGAAAGTGTCAAACCAAACTTTACCCTAGGATTTCGGTCTTGCACAACCCCCTTGAAATTCGTCAACCAATTTGTGCACAAAAGGATGTACTTTGTGCATTTCTTTGTAGTGTGCATGTTTGGTTTGTCTTAAGTCAAGCATTTGAAAGTTTGACCAAGTTTATAAAAAAATATCAACATTTAGAAGATCAAATCAGTATCAATAGGTCCTTCATGGAATATATTTCATATTATATTTAATGTGTATCGTAGACATTGATATTTTTTAATATAAATTTGGTCAAGCTTTACAAAGTTTTTGACTTAAGATAAATAATGTGTGGAGTAAAAACAAGGAGGTAGTACTAATAAGGTGCTCGAAGATTTATTTATTTGTTTTTATTTATTTTTTGCGGGTGAAAGGTGGTGGAGGATTGGAAGCTATAGCAATGCAAAACAGCAAAATGACCCCTTTCCAAAGTTGTTCTAGTTAGCGCCACCCCTCCATGGAAATGCAAGGTAGTAGAATTTTTAATCTCGAGAGAGGGGTTTGCCCTTTCAGATGTATACCAAGGCCCAAGGGTAACCCCTCCAATCGACAAAACAACCCCCCTGCATGCCATGCTCTGGCTCTAGCCTCTAATATATACTATAGCTTCATAGGGTGTAATCAAAGCACGATTTCAACTGCTTCACAAAAAAAAAAACAGTACTACTTCTATGGATTTGTAAGGTGGATTTGTCATAGGGTGTAATCAAAGCACGATTTCAACTGCTTCAAAAAAAAAACACGATTTCAACCATGCCTATTCACTCAAACTAATGGGTAAGATCAAGCTTGTCTTGTGGAATCCAATCGAAGAGCCGTGCCTGGTCAACTTGAGTGATTTTTTTTGAAGTCAACTTGTAATGGCGTGGACCGTGCCCGGTCAAGATGCGTAGCAGTAACATGCAAGTATGCATGCTTTGCGCAGATCTCAACGTGCAGTTTACGTAGACACTAGACAGTAACAAATCTACGCATCTTTCAGTGATGGCTAGCAAGTAGCACGTCGAGCTTGTTGTCTATAAAGAAGCGTCACCGGCTCCTTCGTAGAGTACACCAGTTACAGTTCTCTCGAGTTTCTTCTCTAGCTAGCTCTAGCCTACCTTCGCTTGCCGGCCGTGTCGACGGCGCGATGGCTTCAGGTGCAGCCGCTCTCACTCTGAGGCTGGCCGCCGTCGCTGCTACCCTCGCCCTGCTGGTCATACCCTCCTTGGCACGCTGTCCGTCCCTTGGTCCGGCACCACCACCACCAGCGCAGGCGCCACCACCACCACCAGCGCAGGCGCCACCGCCACCGCCCGAGGCGATGCCACCACCACCACCGGTGCAGGCGCCGCCACCAACACTAGAGGCGATACCACCACCACCACCGGCACAGGCGCCACCGCCACCACCTGAGGCGACACCACCACCACCACCGGAGGCGATACCGCCAGCGCCCGTGCCGGATCCACCTCGGCCATGCAATATCTGTAGCAGAGAGTGCTACCCGGCGTGCACAGCGGCCAAAGCCGCTCTGCCAGATTCCAAGGCCTGCGACGAGAAATGCCGCAACGAGAAGAGCCGCTGCGACCAGTGCACGATCCCGAAGATCGAGGAGTGCACGGCCAAGTGCAACGGCAGCTGTGACTGCCACACGGAAGTCTACAAGTCATGCAGCGACGACTGCCTCTTCCCAGAATGCAGCCCCTGCATGACCATGCGTCAATTTCAACAAAAGGATTGCAGGCACCAGTGCAACCTCGACTACTGCAACGGCAATAAGTGCTGGTGACCATAGGCCATGCGGTCGCATGCATGCATGTACTCCATGGTCAACTCTATCTGCTTGTGCACTTGTCTACGTACGTACTGTATACACGTACGGGAGGACCTGGCAATAAAAAAATAATATACAAATCAATTTCACTATCGTTCCATCTCGTTTATTAGTTACACAATTTTAAGTTTCTCTCGTTCACTTTTTTTCCTGACTGGTATTATGAGATTTAGAGCATTTCCAACAGGCGCGCAACGCACGGCGCGCAAAATAAATGCTTTACAACGTCGAAATAGTCGGTTTTTGCACGCAGTTGAGCGCTGGCTCCAGCGGTCACAGCAAAATATTGCGCGCGCGAGCCGCTGCAGCTGGCGCTGCAAAAAAACGGCGCGCACGCCCAACACAAACAACATATGACACTCCAAACAAAACCAAGAAGATCAAATACATAAAAAATAATCAACAATAAATAATTCCATTTTATTACAACTCAGACAAATAGTTTATCTTCCAATACAACAAATAGTTCGACACTAAAACATCAAACATACAACATCAAACATACAAATCATCATGCGTCTTGTCGGCCATTCCATGCCCACCACTCCTCGATGAGATCCTTCTGAAGATTATCATGCCTTTCGGCACGTCGAATGACATGATAGGAGGCAACAAACCGGGCCACCCTCGCAGCCCTCCGCCACACTCGCACGGGATGTCCCAAGAGCTCATAATGAGAGTAGTCTAAATCTTGACCATGCTCATTATCGATGATCATGTTGTGCATGATCACACAAGCGTGCATGGTGTACCAAAGGATCTTTTGATCCCAAAATCTAGCCGGTCCTCTCACACTAGTGCAGAACCGGCCTTTAGTGCCGGTTCGTAACGGCCTTAGAGTGGGGACTAAAGCCCCCCCCCCTTTAGTGCCGGTTCGTCACGAACCGGCGCTAAAGTGACACCACATGGCACGAGCCAGACTCGTGTGCGCGTAGGACATTAATACCGGTTGGTAACACCAACCGGTACTAAATGTTTGGGGGGTTTTTTGCTTTATTTTCCATTCCATTTTTTTGTTTGCTGGTATTTCACGATACTACAAATTGTACACGTTATGCATATATATAAATAGATTTTCTCGTACGTATAGAACCGCACATATATATATATATGTATATATATATATATATATATATATATATATATATATATATATATATATATATATATCATTGAATGTCTCACAACCAACACCATTATTCACACATACACATGTATATACATATACAATTTCTCCTACATATGTTTCCTTGGTGCCTCCGGAGCACGATGACAAGTGGTTCATGGGGGAGGTAGTGGGTAATAGTATTCTCCTTTGGGATTTATGACCTGGTCGAGCAAAAATCCGGCTATTTCCTCTTGAAGTGCTAGTATGCGGTCCGATGGTAGGAGCTTATCCCGCACCTCTCTGAACTGTTAAGAAGGAGATCAATATGCATGTGTGTTAGTTGTGTGACTAGATATTGATAATGGTGTGAATAGTGTTCTGACAAACGTACCATGTCCTGTCTATCAGATCTGCTCCTTTCGGACGTCATCATGCGAATGTTCTCGCAAACGTAGAACGCACACAGATTATTCCCCGGCGCCTGCTTCAGGGCCTTTACAAGAATGGAATTGAATCAGATAATGATTAATCAAGCATGATAATTAATTAATGTTACTGAAACAAGAATTAAAGAGATGGTAGCTAGCTAGTACTACTTAATTACTTACCTTTGGTCGATGCCAAAACAACTTTTGTTTCCATTCGCCTGGAGTCACCTTGATGAACTTTGCCCATGCCCTGCCCGCCGGCAAAGAAAATTAATAAAGGGGTTATTAAATACTTCATATCAGGAAATGACGAACTAATAATAGGCCGAGATATATATAGTTAATAATGATTGAAATTACCTGTTGACTATCCCCTTCACGATGATGAAGTCATTTTCTTCTTTAGTTATTGAGTCCAGTAATTCAACTTTTCCTTTCTCAACTTTAATGTCTATCAAGACCCAGTGCCAACTGCATGCGCACACGTTTGCATGTCTTAAATAAGCGGGCATATGCATAAAATTAATCAACTACCGTAAACCGTATACACTTAATTATTAACATCTAGCTAGCTAGTAAGCAAAAACAGAATTTGTAGTACAAGACAGTGTGACTCACGGGAAGTTGTAAGGAAGCAGTATATCTTCATTGCTATTGAGGCGCTTCAAGAACTCTACCATGCTTTCCTCTACACCTGCTTGATAAAATGGAAACTTCCATATGTCCTCATTAATGGTATTTGGGTCAATGAACCCAACGCCATAGCGTCCAAATTTTTTCATTTCATACATCTTCATCCTGCATATAATACCACAGAAAAGAATATAGTGAGGATAATTACATGTAATGATTGATCAAAATTATCACTACATAATTAGCTTGAGACTTAAATTACAGAAATAAATCACTTACAGACAATAGCAACTGACGATAGACTTGTCGAGTGCATCTTGATTGTATAACTGAAAAAGTTCTGGATACTCAATGGCCAGAGCTTTCTCATCGTAATAATGCTCCTCCTTGACATTCACCATGAGGGACACTCGAATGGAAATCTTGGTAATGTTCATGTACCATTGATGCAATTCATACATTCTCGTTGGGAGGTCCTTGACCTTGTCTGGATGGACCAAAGGTTGGCCCCCAGACATATTTCCATTTTATTTCTGATTCTTTAAGCGGAGACATGGGCTCGATTTCGAGGAGTTGTCCAACAGAGATCTTGAGCATTTCAGCCTGCATTATATGCTCCTCCGTTATTACCACATCGCCCTGCTGGGGAATGTTAACGGTTTGCCCACAATAATATTTGGCGCGCGTACTCCTCTCATGTGTTGTTGGCACAACAAGCGGGGGGATCGCTTGCGCCGCCTGTTCTCCCAGCTGGAGAACGGTTTTCCCGCATTTTTTGCCAGCTGCTTGTTGGCTCGAGCTCGAGCTCGCTTCCTTCTTTAGCCGTGCTCGATGTAGCTTCCTGATTTAATGCTCATAGTCTGAGTCAACAGGCTTGGGAGCTGGTGCTCTAGCCATACGAATGAAGTGGTCAATCGTTTTCTCAGGCACTTTCTCCTTTGGCGGCGGTGCCGGTTTAGGTCCAAAATGGGCGTCCACTTGAGCCTGCAGTATGGCTGCATTTTGCTCCTCGGTCATGTCGTAAGGCCTCTGAGGAAGAGGAGCGAGGCTTGGACCATATTTGTATCGCTTGTCTCTGCCTGTACTTCCTGTACTACCTCGACTCGTACCGCTACGCACTATAGCTGCGGCGTGTCTCTTCTGCGATTGCTGAGACGGCGGAGACGGCTGACGTGGCTGACGCTGTGCCGGACTTGAAGCAGGAGGAGTGGCCTGACGATGTGCCGGACATGGAGGAGGAGGAGTCTGCTCAAGCGTTCGGGGACTTGGAGGAGGTGGTGGCGGACTTCGAGGAGGAGTCGGCTCACGCGTTTGTGGACTTGGAGGAGCGGGAGTCTGCTGACTCGGTGGCGAACTTCGAGGAGGAGTCGGCAGACGACGCGGTGTCGGTGGACTTGGAAAGATGATGCAATCCTTTCTCCATATGATGATACGATGTACGGCATCTCCTAGTGTGCGCTCGCCGTCACCTCCAGCAATGTTAAGTACTAGCATCGAATATGGCTCCACCACTTCATCAACCATGACACAAGCATAGCCCTCTGGAATCGGGATGCAATGGAAGGTTGCTTCAGGGGTAATTGTGAAAGCAACGCCGTCCGCCACCTTCATGGATATGTTCTTCATTTTGGAGTGTAGCTCACAGTTAGTGTTCTCTATGATGTCATCCATAGGGTGGTATGTATCCAGCAGTGTGTCGCCCGGGGCAGAACCAACGCTGCTTCTTGGCATGGATGGTACGGTGCTATACAATGATGGACGATCATCCGCTTGCTGCTGCCGCTGCTGAGACCCCCTTTCCTGGCTAAGTGAGTCGATCTGCTGCTGCTGCTGCTGGAATTTGAGTGCCAAGTCCGCGTGCCTTGCTTCTAGGCCTTGAAGGCATTCTGTGTCCTGCTTCCTCTGCTTCTCCTCCAGCTTCCTCTTCTTCTCCTCCTCCATCTTTTTTCTTGCACGGGACCTGTAGTCGTCATTCCAGTCCAAAAATCCCTCATACTAGGGAATAATGCCCATGCCTCATGTTCTTCCCGGGTGTTCAAGATTTCCCAGGGCGCGCATAAGCTCGTCGTTCTCTCTGTTGGGCGTGAAGACCCCCACTCGAGCTTCTTCTATTGCGTCAAGTATCTTTTGTTCGGCTCCTTTTAGACTTGCCTTCTTCGAAACCAGGCCTGTCTTCGGGTCCAACGCCCCCCATGCGCATAGAACCAAGTTCTGCACCTGGGGGGCCAGCTCCTAGTAATCGGAGTGACCCCTGCACCCTCCATCTCTTGCTCAGACTTATCCCACTTAGGCATTGCCACCGCGTAGCCACCTGGACCCAGCCTATGGAACTGCGTCTTTTTTGCGACATTGGCCTTGTTTTTTATCGACCGTTCCTTAGATATTTCTGAATCCTTGAATTTCACGAAATCGTCCCAGTGTTCTCTTTGCTTCTCCAGTGTTCCCATGAATTCTGGAGTCTTCCTTTTTGCAGCGAGGTGGTTGGCCCATACAGTTTTCTTGTGGGTGTTGAATGCAATTGCCATCTTCTTAAGAGCAGCGCCCTTCACTTTGTCCACATCTGCTTTAGTGAAATAATCTGGTAGGGTGAAATGTTCCATCAGAGAATCCCAAAGGTCTTTTTTGGCTCTATCGTCGACCCAAGTAACACCTGGACGTTTAGTCTTTGGCTCTTTCCATTCTTGAATGGAGATCGGGAGTTTGTCCTTCACAAGAACTCCACACCGACGAGTCCACTTGTTTGCAATGTTCTTAGGCGACCGGGGTTCGCCACTAGGTTTGACGGA